CTGATGGATGCCATGTAGATATCAGAGAACCGCACCAGCCGTCGAGAGAAGTATGTGGGGTTGTGGAAGGTGCGGAAGATGCTTCCAAACTGGGGGTTGAACAGGTTCTTCGTCAGCGACCTGAGAGGAAAGAGATGGTCCTCTGTAGATAAAAGGCCATGGTTACAGATTCTTCCCCCTCCAATCCCCTGGCCCTAGGCCACCCCACTCCTAGAAGATGTTTTGGGATCACCCTAAGTACCCTCCCACCCAGGCTGTGATGCAGACCAGTCCCTGTGCAGTGAGACTGTGATGAAAATTCAATGCACTCTTACTCTTCCTTGTTACCGTACCTTGTACAGGCAAGGACCCACGTGCAGTGCCAGAAGCTGCAGTAGCAGACAGCCCATCAACCCGCCCAGCACAGGGTGACACCACCTCCCCTTTCCCACCCTGCCTTCAAACCAGTCCAACCTCCCAGGCTGCAGGACTGCACTGCTGTTTCCCCCCCCAGACAGGCGACACCAGGGAGGATGGCCTGGTTTAACCCCAGTCGGCAACTAAGCACCACACAGCCACTCGCTCACCCTCCCCCCCGGTGGGATGGGGGAGAGAATTGGAAAAAAAGTAAAACCCGTGTGTTGAGATGAAGGCAGTTTAATAGGACAGCAGAGGAAGAGAAAGTAATAATGATAAAAAAAATACACAAAGCAAGTGATGCACAATGCAATTGCTCACCACCTGCTGACCAATGCCCAGCCAGTCCCCGAGCAACAATCGCTGCCCCCCGGCCAGCTCGCCCCAGTTTATATACTGAGCATGAGCCCTTTGGCCAGTTTGGGTCAGCTGTCCTGGCTGTGCCCCCTCCCAGCTTCTTGTGCACCTGGCAGAGCATGGGAAGCTAAGAAGTCCTTGACTAGTGTAAGCACTACCTAGAACAACTAAAACGTCAGTGTGTTACCAGCATTATTCTCATACTAAATCCAAACCACAGCACTACGCCAGCTACTAGGAAGAAAATGAACTCTATGCCAGCTGAAACCAGGACAGAGGACAACAGCTGCAGCACCACTGTCCCCAAAACAGGTTACAAAACAGACCCAGTGCAGGCCTGGGAACCCCTGAGAGACCTCATGAGCGAGGGGGGCAACGTTCACCTGATCTCCTGACGTTCCTTCATCCACTCCAGCAACACTTGCTTCGACTCCGCATCCTGATACATCTGCCAAGACAACAGCAGAAAGCACCACGTTGCATCAGTCCTACAGGCCACACCCCAGCTCCCTCCAGCTTCCATAGTAACTCACAAACCCATGAGTCCACTGTACCAGGAGGACGAGATATTTTTGAGAACACAGGCAAAGTGGTACGTCCCCCGATTCCCATGCTAAGCCCAAAACGCAAACTCAGAAGGCAGCATATTACCTGTCCCGCTCAGACAGGAGCTGTTTACCTGCATTCTCTCTAGCAGCCCCGTCAGAGCCTGCTGCCAGGTCAGGGAGTGCATGTACTGCTCTGTGTTTATGATCCGAATCTCCGTCTCCAGTTCAGGAACAATGGCTCCAGTCCTCCAGCCATGACGCAGCATGAGATCCTAGAGGTCATGGTGAAAAAACAACCAAGAATTCAACATAAAGACTGAACACCAAACACAACCCTGTTTCCTGGAGGAGTGGTCTGTTCCCATTACAGATTCTCAGGCATCCATGGCCCATGCCGGGTCATGCCAGTAACAGCCATCTCCTGGCCACCACGGTCAGCTGCATGAAGCACCTAGAAATGTGAGATCCACACAAACTGCTCTCAAATTCACAGACCAGCAGATGTTCTTTACCCACAGAAGGCACTTCAGGAGTCCTTTCTCCACTGCTTGCTTCTGCCTGACAGCAGAGTGGGGATGCTTATGTGTCCTATGTGTGCCCCAAAAGCTGCAGCCTGCACAGCACCCAGCACAGCATAGCGGAGACCTGAGCACTCCAACACAGCTGCAACCACAACAGTCACATAGGCTTGCTCCCACCTGAGTGGAGAGCAGAGACCTTTCTACTTACCGCAAGGTCGCTGTACAGATGGTCACCAAAGTAGAGCACTTTGGACCCACGCCAGCCTGTCAGCCTCAGAAAATCAAAGAGATTACCCTACAAGTAAAAGGAGCACAGAGAGAAACATGGTTACAGGCCAAACGCCTCCCTCCTCACTGCATGGTACTGGGCAGCCACCCCAAGCAGCACTGTCAACGCAGCTGGATGTGCCACCTTACCGGACGCAGATGTGAGCACTCTCATAAGATGTCAACCTTCTCACTCCCCCACCACTTAAACCCAGAGGTTTCTGTCCATCCCTACCTTATCTCACTTTCTTCCCATGTGACAACCCCCCTGTACATCCCTCAGCTTTTCTTAGGCTACAGAAAAAGGCAGGAACTCTTCCAAACCCAATAGGCAGTTCAACGGATGTTCTGTGCTCTAGGGCACAGCAAGTCAAGAGGACTACATGGACTAAAAAGGCAACAAAAGGAAGACAGTTTAGAGGCCAAAAGTGAAAACCACCTAAATGAGCAAAGCCTGAGCAATGGACTGAAAGAACCCCAGGCGCTGTGCGTTTAGAAGTTGTTGGGCTCGGGTGATAATGATTTCACCTCATGGGGTGCATCAGAGGTAAGGTGAGCACCATCATGCAAGGCTTTTGGAGTCAGGAACACATGAGGCTGTTCTCACATCACTGACCACCACCCGGACCCAAAAGATTAACACCACCCACGCCTTCACAGGAATTGCTTAACCAAGCCAAAAAGCCAGGCAGCTTGAGCAGATTCACAGCTAAGTAAAACAAACCAAACCCCAAAGCACCAGCTAAAGCACAGCACAGAGCAGCTTTCAAGCCTTTCCAAACATCTGTCCGCACACAGAGGAGACTTCAGGGATCACCCCTTCCATCTCCACACAAGTTTTCCACATGAGTCACAACGGAAATAAAACCCACTAGGAAAGGAAAAGGTCCCATCAACACCAGCAGACTAGACTGTGCCACACAAGCAGTCAATGCAAACCTGCGAGCCTCTTGGCAGCAATCTCTCCAGCCAGTCTCCAGTGCCAGGAAAGAGCTAGCATGCCTACCCAACAGCACCGGCCCAGACAGAAAACCCCCAAACACAAGGCAGCTCCCACAACAGCCTGCAGCCCTGCCATGTGGCCGCTGGCAACATGCTGTGTGCACTGCAAAGGGTACCCAGAACCAGAGTGCTGGGCCTCCTGCTGCTGCAGCATCACTGGACCTGTGCAGACTTCCCTTAACAGCACGGGGCAGGCCTCTGCATTTCTTGGACATGACATTTCTGCTGCTTGCTTGAGGGTTGCTCAGGAAGCCACTGGCAGAGCAGGGAAATGGACCACAGCCTTGGGAGGAGGATGGTCCTTTTGCTGTGCTCTGGTCACCTCAAACAGCAGTAGACCTGACAACCAGGAAACTTGTGCTTGGACCTCCACTGAGCCACAGACCTGTTACGTGACCTCCGGGAGCTGGCTGTCCTCCTCCCCTCCTGAGATCGCAGACTAGGGGAGGGATGGGAGTACATACGTGCCACAAACAGAAAACACCACATCTATCAGAAAAGAGGGATTAGAGGGCCATCACTTGAACTTCCCAGTCCCCACTACAAAACACTGATCCCTGAGGTCCCGTTTGTATGAGATACCCACAGCACAACTGCCATACAGCTGTGCTTCAGGGGACAGGAACAAGTCAGCTCAGAGGCCTCTAGCAACATCACCAGCACAGCAAGGTCCATGGCCACTAGCAAGCAGCATTGTGGCACTCCAAGAAACCAAAAATGCTGGGGACAGGGTGGACTACAACCAGGATACACACTCTGTTACATCCCAAGAACCACAGTTAGGCAACAACCTTGATGCAGTCGGATGAACATCATGGTGGGGCAGAACTGGAGAGAAGCCCAAAACCCTACCCATCCCTCCTTCCTCCCCATCTTTTCCCTTCCTTAATGCACCATTCACTTGGGTGAGCAACCTGTGGCTACAAGATGTAGGTGGTCAAGAGCAGGATTTAATTCAGCAATAAACCCCATGGCTGAGGTGCACCTTTTCTCCTGACAGAGCTGCTAATCCACTGGGAAAGTTTGCCCATGGGAGAGAGACTTTGAGCTCTACTTGCATGTTCCCAGCCCCTAGCTCTCAGCAGAGGATGGGACGCTAGCAGACCACTTGGACAGACCCGACAGGCAGGCCAGAGGCTTTCCAACAGCACTACTCAAGGACATGACCTACTTTTCTACTGCAGGTCAGGTCCCAGCTACTTGACCGCAATCTCACTAACAGTTTCTTCCCATGGGACTGGACAGCTCACACAACTGAGAACAAACCGTCCTAAAGCCAGAGGCAACTTGTCCTCAGGGGACAGACCAGCTGCAAGGAGAACATCCCAAGGCAGCAAGCTCACCAGAGTAACAGCCCGTCCTTTGGACATGCTTGTCCTTCAGGAATGGGAGAGAGATGGGAGCCAGGCTTTGTACTCTATTTGATCACTCGTGTTTCTGCACTCCCTCCTCCACAAATCCACCTTTTCCAACCTTATGGAGGACAACTTGGAGTGAGGTATGGAAGATCTCTGCACGCACATCAGATTGCAGAGAGCTCTGCCTTCTTACCCTGAATGAGCATGCTCTTGGGAGTCCTGCCAGGACAAGAGTTTCAGGACCAGGACATCAGAAGAGCCAAGGGAAAACTGCACTATCAGCCACACTGGGCAATGTCAGAACAGAGCTCCTAGGGTCAAGGTTTCACTGTATGCTGGGGCAGGGGGCATTCAGTGACCCCTGCCACACATGCAGAGGATGTTTCCCTACTACCCCTTCTCACACAAACAGGGCAGCCACAGGGAAAAACTCAGCCTGGCAGAGATAAGTCAGTACAGGTCCTCCTGGGCAGAAAGGCAAGCACCCAACACCCTAAGTTAACTGGCCCTTCTCTGCCTTTTCCGCCCCTGTCCCTGTCCCTCCATCTCTAATGCGAAGCCCAGTTGAGCCGGGTGGAATACATCACTCCCATTACACACCCTTCTGCAGCATGACCCAAACATGGACCTGGGTAGGGAACTGTTTCAGAGCTGCAGACAAAGTTTTCCTACCAGCCAGCTCTGGTATACCTTATTTCAGCTCTGCCTCCTACAGCTGTAAAAAACTGTGATTGCCAGAGGAGCAGCCTTTTCTATGCCTGGCATTCTCAGAGGTTGGTTTATCACATGTTGACAAGCAACACAGCCCTTGACAGGGTTTTCCAATATACGAAAAGACCCTTTATTCTAATGCTTACGTGCCAACAGAAGCTGAAAGACTTTTCAGAGGCATGCAATTGGCGAGGCTATTGCTCCACAGCATGCCAAGAGACATACTGAAAGCACTGGGGGGACAGTGTCCTGCAGGGCCAGCAAGAGCTCTCTGCATGTGGACAGAGGGCATCTCTCCCTGCCACCAGCCAGAGCAGCACACAGAGCCTAGAGCGTGTCTCCTTACAAGTGCCATCTAACTATCACAGGCACTTTTGTCAAGGATTTCCATTTTTCACTTTTCAAACATCAAACATCCGCAAGTGACCTACAGAAGAACCCATCATTTTCCCCCACCCTGACTAAGCAGATTTTCCTGTTTTCCAGTGACTTCCCAGCTTTTCCAGTGACTTCCAAAACTGCAGGTGTCTAGTAAGCCCCCACCATTTCAGACTCTTGTTTCATACCCCTTATGCACTCATTCCCTTTACCTCTTTGTAGATCTTTCCTTTCTCCAGCTGGTTTATTTTGTCCCACTGCAGTGAGCCTTTATCATCCAGTTTTCGAAAAGGTCTGGAAAAAAAGGGGGGAGATGTCAACTTCTTTTGATTTTTGGCGATTATTACCCAGCAACCATAGCATTTTAATTGGAAAACTTGTTTACCTATGTAACAACTCGCAATAAAAGCCTCTACGTGAGAAGTGACCTTCTGGGCCTTCTGCACTATTTTCTCAGGGGAAGAGAAAGTGCAAGAGGGAAATATCTTTTCAAAATGCTTTCATTGACAACTGTTTCATGGCAATATCCCTAACAACTCTTCTTGCTTTTCAGATACAGGGAAGAGGAAAATAACAATAATAATAAAGACTCCCTCTGAAATGCTAAGGCCAAGAAGGCTTTGCCATGAAACACTTTTTGTCCTGTTCCAGTCTGGCTACACCCCAGCCCAACAGAGACTGTGGAATGTCTTGATAGGATAAAACAGTCTGCAGAGTGGATGGAAAGCAGTCTCCATGCTGATCTCGGCAGCTGACCTGAGCTGGCTCCTGTTGCTCCTAAGGGCTTGCCTGGTTACCTTCCACTTGGACAGAAGAAGCAAAACAAGGCTTAAGTTACTTGACCCCCATGAACGTTCATGCTCAATGGGAACATTGCTCCCTCTTGGGCTAGGAGTTCCAAACTGTGAACTCCAGGATCAAAAGCCTTGGTATGAAACTGCTCCTGCTGCAAGCAGAACACAAATCTCATCCAGAAACATTGTATGATCCTGAGCTGCCTTAGGGCAGAAGGAATCCTGCCACCCATCATGAACTCTACAGCCTACCCAGGCAAGGGGCTCCTCAACCGTGGGTGGTCTCCAGTGTACATCTGCATTTTCCCTCAGAGAAAACACTCCACAGTTCACTACAGCTCACCATCAGGAGGTTCCCCTCACCTGGGACGTATGTGCCATGTCATTCCCCTGGCCCACTACACGAGTGGACCTTAGGCACCATGCAGCCATAAGGTTTTATCTCCTAGAGGGCCAGATCATCATAGCTCCAGGCTACATTTGTAAGACACTTCACCTGCATCCCATGAAGAAAACCTTTACCAGGTCAGCCCAGCTTATAAAGCCATTTTGTAGGTTTACTCCTGTTTATGCTAGTGGCCTGGGAAATGGGGAAAGAAAATACATAAAGAGGAAAGAATAAACCTCTCCCTCAAGGGCAGTAACTTCTGGCCAGTCATAAGTTGAAGCAACAAAGCAGACACAAGTTCCCAAAGCAAATAATCCAAAGAGCAAAGCAAGAACAGCAGCTTGCCTATCAGCTAGTCCCTCGGCAGCTCCTAACTGACCACAAAACCCAGCCGCCACATACAAAGGCTTCCAAAGCTGCCAATTACCAAATGGCATGTATCTAATAGCTAAAAAAATAAAAAACCCCAAACAAACAAAAAACAAAAAAAACCCCAAACCACACAGATATTTGCTGTGGGCAACAGGGAAAGATTTTGGCATGCTCTCAAGACCTAGAGCCAAGAAATGGCCAGCTCTCATACATACCATTCCACTCCTCTTTTCTTTCTAAAGATTAAAATACATTATTACCCCTAAAAATCTAAGTTAAGCCGAGACCACGACAAAACTGATGAGGCTTAAGACAGCCAATTTTAGAAACATGCTTTCTGCTTAGCACTACCCATTCTACCCACTTATTCCTAGACTGGTCAGTTTTCATCTCCTCAGAGAATATCTGAGAGGACAGCAGAAGGCTGGATGCCTTTGGACCTAGATTAATGCTTAGAAAACCACTCCTCTTTTGGAAGGTAAAAGGAGCCATTTGCTCCAGGGAAGGAGGCCCAAAACCTCAGGCCCACATGCAGCAGTGCAGTATTGCCCTGGGACACGTACTTCCGCCGATCAGTGAAGAAGTTGGGCTTGTCAGCTTGCACAATGACCATGTCAAATAAGTCCCGCCAGTTCTTGCCAACCATGTGTTTCATTCCTTTGTCCCTAAGGGCAAAGGAACAGAAAAGTTAACAGATCCAGTACTCTTTTTCACCCAACACAGCATCTTTACAACAGTCTGTCCTAAATTTACTCTCATTTCAGTAACAGAGAGGAAAACAGATATTTGTGAATCCCACAAGGCTGTCTCATTGCATGGACTACTGATGTAGCACTTCGACTGTTTCAAGCTGTCCCACTCTTTCTCCTGTACCATGGGAAGTCCAGAGAAGTCTGTGATGCAGCAAAAGCTGCTAGAGGTAATCCAAAGTGGCAGCTCTCTAATACAAGCCGCAGCCTTGCATCTTCTTCAAAAAGTCAGAGTCAAAGATGTAGACAGAACTGTAGGGTCTAACATTCACCACAACCGGTTCCCAGAGAGCACTTTCACGACCATTGCCACAAAAACCTCTAGTGTGCAATGCCCACAGGAGAGACCACACTGCACAGCTCTTGCTGTGCTGTGGCAACACATCGGTGTGTAATAACAGTACTCACACAAAGCTAAAGGGACTGTTTGTAATAAGGAAGAGTTTCTTCTTGTGGTTCACCAGTCGGTTTAGCACAGCATAGATTTCATCCCCGTGCAGAATATACTGTTCTGTATCGGAATAAAACAGATACCATCAATCAAAAAATTTTGGCATAAGTCATGACCACATTTCTTTAAAAACAGAAACAAATCTAGCCCCTATACTCATAGGGATGCATAAGGACTGAGTTAGATCCACCTCAGGCAGGCAGGTAGCAAACCACCATGGTGACAAAATGGTCTTCCTCATCCTCATCAATCCCATGTAGAGGCAAGAGAAAGACTGAGGAACTGAAAATGCTGGCAAAAAAAGAGGGCTGATACCAAGCTATCACAAGGGACAGGCACAGCTACTCCAGGCCATGTTGCTACCAGGAGCTTGCTTTCCCCTGAATGACCAGGAAGCTTTCCCAGGTGGTGACTTTGCATGTTCACATCATGCCAAGGACCATCACCCCTGGCTTACAGGCTGAAGGAAAACAGAAACACAAGCAATGAGGTAGCCATTTCCTCTATTAAAATAGATCCTTCACCTGACCCTAAATACCACTTGGTTCTTAATCCCACTCTACCCCTCAGTTGCCTTTAGGCACGCCACATTCAAGTATTTCATCAAGTTCTGTGTCCCCCTGACTCCTTTGACTCTGTGTAGGTCCTACACAGTCATCTTACACAGAACGTCACGTAGTATGAGACACATAAAAATTGATTTGACACCAGAGCTCTACTTAACTCACCCATATCTTTTTCAATCCATTTGTACATCACTCCTTTCACATGTACATCTCTAATAGCATCCTAAAGAAAATGGCAGGGGAAAAAAAGTTTCAGTTTTATGTATGGCATTCCT